ATTATTGATATATTGACACAGCCCAACCCGATCCAAGTAAATTGGCCATACGACTGTGATAGCCAGCGCACTAATCTGTGGCCAGATGTCCTGATATGATTCAGTATCGAATCAGGGGATGCGGGCGCGTGATTTCGTATGACTGCCCCCCAGAAACACAACTAGAGCTCGATCATAAAGATTTGCCGTCGAGTGGTGTGCCCCTGTAATAAATGGGAATTTCATCGAGAAAATAACATATAATATCCGATTGTAAGACTTGCATTGGGTATGGCTTTCCATATCGCCGAGCACCGATTTACTGTATTGTTCGTATTGTACACAATACGCAGTCTGCAATGTGCTGGCCCGATTCTTGACGACCACGAATAATCTTATCGGGAAACATATAATAATTATAATATTGAACACGCTATAATCTGATTATCACCTCTTTTAATACTTTTGTACATGTATATCTAAAAATTGTAATCGCGATTTCCCCAGAACGTGGACTTTGTTCTGAGATAGCTTCAGTGAAATCGCTGACTTAGTTAATTTAATTTATTGAGATACGAGTATTTCATTGATGAGTTGTATTGCCTGGCGCTATTCTTCCTTCTGGCTCTATTATTGTTATGGCCAGAAAATCGGGTGAATTGATTTGTTCTCGAGTCAGGTTCGGCTCGGCTCTGTTAAGTTCTGTTATGTTCGGGAACGATAAGGTTATCGGGAAGGAAAGGCATTTATAATTGATTTTAGAGGTAGCTTTGAGTATTTTATTATTATAGGCATTTGGTGGGTATTTGTTGTTTATTAATTATTGTTGCCTGTCTTGCTTTAAGTCGTTATCATTTTGGGACATTGTTACTTCAACGTTTTCCGACACTTTTCGGCGCCGTGGCCCCTAACTCATGCCAGGCCCACAACTACACCCTCGCGCAAACCCCGACCCATTACCTTGCCTCATACCCGTAGCCGTCATTACTTTTTAACAGGTTATTCAGTTGCTTTTGGCCAGAGGACGCGATCGGTCCTCAATCGCTCAAGTTATTTTCGGATCGTACCACTCCAGCTGAAAAGTAAGTTCCCGGACTCGGGACTCCCACTAAGGATATAAGGGATGCCTTATGCATTTAATACAATAATTGTTAATGGGAAGTCATTCTTGAAAGCCGTGAATTACTCTCACAAGATTTACTAAAAATACCCACTTTGACATAGATTTCTGTATGCCATCATTCGTATTTCATTTATTCGTGTCAATTATGTCTTCTTCTTTTGCCAGAAAGACTCTCAAAAAATTAAAAATTCAAAACATTAGGAATATTCAGAAACATACTATTTAGGTGCGGATTCCATTCTGGAACCTTTTATAAACTAGTTAATGTGCTAGTTAGCTGCGGATATACAATTTTGTTGTACTTCGTAACTAATCAGAGCCAGATTGGGATAATCGAAACCCACTTACAGAGTATTTATCATTTGTGGAAATTGAAAATAGGAAATGACTACTCGGAGCGATCTGATACGATACTGGGAGGGGGCTACCACATTCACGCTGATTTAGGACCGCCATTATGGCATTCGACTGTTTGACGGTTTTTAGGGCCTCATAGCTATAGCTATACAGTCATAAAGACACATTTTATGAATGCAGTCCAATTGTGTTTACGAGTACTTGCGCGCCCCCAGGCCCAGGCACCGATTCTAGCCGCGGGCGATAAGGATCTGCTCGTATCTGGAATCTTTTTGTTAAGGCTATTGGTTTATTTGAAAGCTCCAAAGCATCGATAAGATACGAGCGACATGCCCCTAGCAACCCTTCAACGGATTAACTTAACCCAAGCTGCAAATGGACGAACGAAAGCGAATCTCTTGCCGTGCATTGTCAAAGTGTTACTTCATTGATAGTCGCTTGCTCGTGTTCGGTCGATTTATCATGTGATTTAATTCCCCGTAATTACGATCGATTTCTCATTATTTTTTGATATCTTTGTGCTTCTAGATGACAGATAATGCTGGATTCTGGCCAGATGCGGAGGTTTCCGCTTCGACAGGGCCCTACCCAGGAGAAAATCCCCCCGCCTATTCAACATCAGTGGTCTCCAGAGATGTCTCCTTGAATGACTTCAACTCGAAGTGAGTACTCGAACTCTAGGTAGATCATCCAGTGCCTATTCAGAGCTCACCCCTTTCCCCCTCTCTTTCGCTTTCAGAGCAAACTTGACAGAGAAGAATCAGCTCGCACTCTCCGAAGATCCCTATCGTCCCTTTGAGCATCGCGATCCAAAGGGAGCCAGTACTGGCGGCGCTTTAGCCCATCTGCTTAAGAGTTCCCTGGGCACAGGAATTCTAGCCATGCCCATGGCCTTTCACAACGCCGGCCTGGTTTTTGGTATGTGCATGACGCTCATCGTTGGCTTCCTCTGCACCCACTGCGTTCACATATTGGTAAGCAAATCGATATGAGATTTAGCACCTGATTTAGCGGCTGTTGACTCCAAAAATTACCAGAGAACCCATCAACAGCCAAGCTGACGTAGTTGTGGGGTTGCTGAAGTAGCTCAAGGTGCTGTCTCAAGTCATACGAGACGTCTGTCAATTAAAAACTACTAAAGGCCTTGGTTTTCCACACTGTTAAAAGCTAGACAAGTCGAGATTTGGTCTAATCATAGAGAGAGAGAGAGAGAGATAAATACAATTTATATTTATATCAGCAATTAAGTTTGCTTTTATTGATTTTATTTATGATCAAGCATTTTCGATTAGAGCAAATCCTTCAGCACGTAACTTCCCAGAATTAAAAGTACTTCACATTCCAGACAATTGCACACTCCGCGTGCGAATACTTTGTGTAAATCACCTTCAGATTCCAAAAACCCCAAGTCATCGATCATCTATCAATCCTATCTATCTATACGTAATAAAACTACACTCGAGACATGCAGATTTATAGCAGGAACATGTTAGCAGTCATTCCTATTTGTTTGGTGTTTAGAGATGACTATATGAGGGACTTTACACTCTAGAGTACACGAGGGATCCCAATTTAGATTATCCAGTAGCGAATCTACATTGGCCTCGCTGTAATTCCGTGTAATTCCTCTCAATTTTTACTTATTTTTAATATGAAGAACTCTTGTACGTTGCTTTGTTGCAGGTGAAAACTTCGCACAACATTTGCCGCGATGCCAAGGTGCCAGCTCTCGGATTCGCAGAGACGGCCGAAAAAGTTTTCGAATACGGTCCCAAAGGCATGCGGCCCTACTCCAATTTTGCTAAGTACGTTAATGAGTCAAATTTCAAAAGTCAACAACAATAATGCGCATTGTTTCAGGCAATTTGTGGATATTGGTTTGATGGCAACCTATTATGCGGCGGCCTGTGTATACATCGTGTTCATTGCCACCTCCTTTCACGACGTGATCAATTACGACTGCAACCTCAACTGGGATGTGCGAATCTACATTGCAATCACTGTAATTCCGTGCCTCTTCATCGGACAGATCAGGAACCTCAAGTGGCTGGTGCCGTTCTCCCTTATGGCCAATGTGTTCATTGTGATCACCTTCGCGATTGTTTTGTACTACATGTTTGACGAGCCACTTGTCTATTCTGATAAGCCGCTGATCGCCCCGGCCGCTCACATTCCGCTCTTCTTTGCCACGGTCATCTTCGCAATGGAAGGAATCGGTGTAGTGATGCCTGTAGAGAACTCAATGCGGAAGCCTCAGCAGTTTCTCGGCTGTCCGGGTGTCCTCAACACGGCCATGATCACTGTGGTGCTGCTCTACGCAATCATCGGGTTCTTTGGCTATGTAAGATTTGGGGACACAGTCCGTGGCAGCATCACACTCAATCTGCCAGAGGGCTCCTGGTTAGGCGACACGGCCAAGCTTCTGATGGCCGTGGCCATTCTGTTCACCTTTGGACTGCAGTTCTACGTGCCCAACGAGATCCTCTGGCGCAAGATCAACCACAAGTTCAGCCCTGAGAAGCACAACATCACACAGATCCTGCTGCGCACTGGCATAATCCTGGTGAGCGGAGGCGTGGCTGCGGCTATTCCCAACTTGGAACCGTTCATCAGTTTGGTGGGCGCGGTGTTCTTCTCACTTCTGGGCATCTTTGTGCCCAGCTTCGTTGAGACCGTCTACCTTTATCCCGATCGCCTGGGCTGGTGCAATTGGAAGATGGTCAAAAACATAATTTTGGGCGTTTTCTCCATCCTTGCTTTGATTGCTGGTGCCGTGGCCAGCATTGGCGAGATCATTGAGATGTACAGCAGCGACGACTAGTGGGAAATCTGAAGTTCCCATCCCACACATCCCTCTTCGAAGAAGGACTATGGTAGTATTAAATATGATGCAGGTACCCCTACAGATGGATTCGATAAAGTAATCACGAGACGGAGAGATAAGTTTTAGGTAAAAGCGCAGTCATATTGCCCGCCCCCACTTTACACATCACTTCTAGCCATGTTGAACATGGCAAGGCGGTGTTGGAGCCACTTCCGATGCCGGCGACTGCATGAACAAGATGATATTAATGTTTAAGCCTTTATGTGTTTGTCTCGTTACACCAACACTGCTAAACTGCAATTCATAGAATTTATAAATGTTATTATGTTAAGACGATCTATAAAGAGAACGATTCTGAACATCAGATTCAAACTTTTTCCTTGCTTGGTATACTCACTTGTTTAAAAGGTTTTAAAGGATATTGAATCAACTTGTTCATCCGGACAAGAGCTGCGAGACAGCCAATAAAAAACATTATCATTGAACTGATGTTGCAATACATACATACATATATAAATATAATAATTAATTTCTTAAAATCAAAGTACAAATACGTGGAATAGAATACAGCGGCGCGCAATGATATTGTAATTGAATTGTTGTATGTATGTTGCTTGTGGGCTGTGGTGGCTTTCGGATGTTGGGGGAACTGAACTAAGAGCTACGTACATACATATGCGTATGTGTCTATGCAGAGTTATTAAGTAATCTGTTGTCTTTGCATTGTAACTGCAACTAATGATGAGAGATGCCGATTCTCATGTGAATTTTCTGCGATGATTCATTCCTTTCGCTAGCTGGTTACTTCTTCTTTTTCTTGGAACTACTGCTGGTGGCCACTACATCGTTCTTGCGCTTCTGATTGGCCTTGGGTTGGGGCATTGGGGCTGGAGTGCTGTTGTGGCTTCCACTGCCACTCGAAATGCTTCCCTTCGGCGCCTTTTTCTTCTTCTCGGCCCGTTCCTTCTCCTCCAATTCGATATTCTCGCGTTCGATGAGCGTTATCAAGGTGTTGCAGCGACGCTGAAGTTCCAGAGCTGTGCGCGACTTGATAAACCAATCGAAGCGAAACTGCGGTGATGCTCTGTCGAATTGCAGCACAATAAAAATAATAACAATTTTAATTATTTCTGATTTGTTTACTTACCTTATAGCCGCTCTCAGCTCTTCGTAAACATTCTCCTTGTCGAAGCCCAGCTTGTGCAGCATGCAGACCAGGAAACGATCCTCGATCTCTGTATAGTTCTTGCCCTTGTTGTTTCCGTATTGCAGACGCAGCTGGTGGAAGGGAGCTCGATACCTCGACATCTTTAAGGACATACAGTATTCAGTAGATGTGACAGCTCCTTTACGGATAAATAACTCATTCGACATACCTTTTGATCTAGGGCCTTCTTGATAGACAGTCGTCGCTGAATCTTTCCCTCGCCTCGCTCAATCTGTCCCATAATTCGTTCAATGTCCTGCAGCTCTGTGCAACGCTCCCAGAACACGGCGTTGTACTCGATAACCTCTTCGGGAGTCTTGCCCTCCACGTCCTTGGCTATGTTGTCAATGTCATCACGTCCATACTTCTCGTTGGCCTTGATGAACTGATTGAAGTCACGCTTGGTCCAGGCCGTGAAGCCGTGGGAGAGGAGGTTCTCTTTCTCGATGATTTCATCTTCCGTCAGGGGTTCGGCCTCGTCAATTTTGCGCTGTTCCTCCCTCTGAACTTTGTTGGCTTCCGAACCGAGTTCCGTGTTCTTGGGCACTTTGTAGTTGACAGTCTTTCGGAAATAGTAGATCTCCTGGTCGAGCAGCTCAAACAGACGAGGCGGGAAGAACTGGAAGTCCTGGACAATAGGTTGCTTGGGTGGACGTGGGGCCTTGGGGGCTTTCGGCTCAGAGACGCGCAGGGCTTCTCTGAAATAGGCGTCCACGGCATAGTTTGCCTTACGCTCACGCTTTGGTGGCTCAATCCAGTTACCCAGAGCGTTCTGTTTCTGCTTCTCACGCCAATCCTCGCCCTCAAACTGATAGACTGACGAAGTGCCGGCCTCTCCATTCGTGTCCATGGTGAATGTGCGCAACGAGCTTTCTCCCATGCTATCGAGTTGGGCCTTCTGTTCGGCTGTCTTAGCCTCGCCACGCTCCAGTATGACATCAATATCCTCGTCGGTGATGTCCGTTTCCTTCGAATTAAATACCTGGCTGGCTCCGAATCGAATTATGTTGAGCATTTCATCTTTGTTCATCTGATTGGATCGATTGTCAACGAGTCGGCCACCCTGAATGACCATTTTGTCCAGCCTCAGCTTGACCTCGGCTCTCTCCACGATCTTCTCCTCCACAGTGCTCTCTGTGATCAAGCGAAAAACTCTCACTTGCTTCTTCTGGCCGATACGATGTGCACGATCCATGGCTTGCAAGTCCATTTGGGGATTCCAATCGGAGTCATAGATGATGACAACATCGGCGGTGGCCAGATTAATGCCCAGGCCTCCAGCCCTTGTGGACAACATGAATACGAACTTTGTACTGTTCTCCATATTGTACTCCTGGATCTGTCGGTTGCGGTCTTCGTGAGGCGTTTGACCATCCAGCCGGCAGTAGTTATAATTCTTCCAATGGCAATAGTCCTCTAAAATGTCAAGCATGCGGGTCATTTGGGAGAAGATCAAAACACGTGATCCCTGTTCCTGGAGTTTGGGCAACAGTTTATCCAGAATGGCCATTTTTCCCGAATTGTAAACCAGATGAGTGTCCGTGGTATACGGTGGCCCCGGCTCGGCTCCATCAAACAGATAGGGGTGGTTGGTACACTTTCGAAGCTGCATTAGGATGTTTTGCAGACGCATTTTCTCGACTTTGCCAGCTCCATTAACAATATCAATATCCTTAAGCAGTACCTTGGTGTACCAGTCTCTCTGCATCTTGGAAAGGCCAACAAATATCTTCATTTCTTTCTTGGGCTTCAAACGCTTCTCCACCTCGGCCTTAAGGCGACGCAGCAAGAAGGGCTTAAGCACAGCATGCAGACGCGTGATCAGGGCATCGTCTCCCAGACAAGTGTTTGTGTTAAACCACTCGTCAAAATCTTCGGACGAGTTGAATACATCGGGCAGGAGAAAGTTCAACAGGGCCCAGAGCTCGTGGAGATTGTTCTGCAATGGGGTACCAGTAATGAGCAACCGATTAGCCGTTTTGAACTCTCGGAGGATCTCCGAAAGCTTGGACTTCTCGTTCTTGATACGATGCGCCTCGTCAATGACCAAATAACGCCAATTGAACTTCTTGAAAACGGACTTCTCGCGAATGCACATCTCATAGGAAGTCACGCAGACATCCCACTCGCCCGGCATCAAAACATCTCGGATGAAAGTGTTTCGAGTGTCCTGGTCGCCAATCAGACAAACGGCTTGCAGCGATGGGCACCATTTCTTGAACTCATTCACCCAATTCTGTAGCGTAGACTTGGGCACAATCACGATGTGGGGACCAGCTTGGTTTCTGCAGGAGAATAAGAATGCTTTGAGTACTTTTGAAGCGTAACACAATTGGAAAACTGACTTGAAATGCTTAAGATAGCCAAGAAGGGAGATGGTCTGCAGCGTCTTGCCCAGGCCCATTTCATCGGCCAGAATGCCGTTGATGCCATTTTCATAGAGTGAGATCATCCAGTTGAGACCACGAACTTGATAGTCACGCATTTCGCCACCCTTAATGTAGGTGGGTGAAGCATCGAATCGAAATAATTCCTTTGTAGCCGTGTCCTCGGCCAGCAACTCTTCATCCTCCTCCTGCTCTGTTTTGCGATGGCGATGGCTACAGGGGAAAACATGTGCAAATTGGTAGATATGTCAAGAAATATAAAATTACTCAACCACTTACTCAGCCAATTCCTTCTCCTTATCTTTATCCTTATCCTTCTCTTTTTCTTTATCCTTGATCTTTTTGGGTCTGCCTTTAGGTTTTGTGGGACTCTTGGCGCTGTTCGTCATGAAATGGGTGAATATCTCCGTTTGTTTTAACAGAAAATCAAACCGACGACTCCGGTCGGCTTCAATCTTGTTGTCGAACTCTGCCTCCTTCTCCCCCGAGGAGCTGGTTGCCGCATCGGAAGTGGTTTCATTCTGTGAGAAGGCGAAGGAAAGTTTCAGAATATTCTTCGCGTCACCGACACCACCGACGGCGTCACTAAACGTAAATATATTTTATTTCACTTTGATTTATACTTACAGAGTTCTCCTCGGCGGCGTCGACGGAGGCAGCATCTGTTTTGGACATATTTTACTGCCGGTGCGGTTTCAGTCTTTAATGTTCAATTTAAATTGTGTTTGCTTTCGCTGTATCCAAATGGTTCTCGTCACTTTTTACGAAATGAGTCTCTGCAAACTGCAAATTGTATCTGTCAGTGAGCTATGCCACTTTACAGAATCTGAGTTTAAAGTTTCAGTTCAAACAATTTACTTTATTGAACACAAATACACACAAAATGCGCTTACACGCTATTTTTTCGAGGGAATTTGGCGTCGCTGTGATGCATGGACTGGTATATCGATATATGTTTAAGTTATACTTCTTCGTTTGAAAAATATCATTATCGATACTTTTGTGCGATAAGCGAAACTTTTCTGGACTCGAAAGACAAATTTAACGATTTCCTAGATTATTTGCTGGTATACAAAATTTAATGGAGCGCTGTCGTTATCCGCTATGGTTGACATAAGTACCTCACGTAGCTCTGCATTCATGGGTGCTGTGCTATCAATCGAAGAATTTATTATATTCCAAAAAAACAAATCCGCTGCTGCTGACGTGTTTGACAATAGGACAGATATAGGCTTGATCTTGCCTATTATACCTGGTACTCGAAGAGTAAATAGGACATTGTATTTGTGGGGAATAACGGCTGTATGTAACGCACAGAAGGAAACGTTTCCGACCCCATAAAGTATATATATTCTTGATCAGCATCAATAGACGAGTCGATAGATCCATGTCTGTCCGTCCGTCCGTCCGTTTGTCCTTCTTGTTTGTCGGCTAGTTCTCAGAGACTATAAGAGCTAGAGCCACCAAATGTTGCATCCAGACTGCTATATGCTCACACTGAAACCAGTGTATTTAAGAAATGAGCCACGCCCCCTTCCGCCCCCGCAAAAGGGCGAAAACCTCCCAAATCTACAATTTTGAAGATAACAGAAAACTAAAAACGCCATTCCGTAGGAAATGGCCATATCTGCGTTCTGCTAGGTTCCGCGCGTAACAGGCTTTGGCTTGGTGTCGCATGGGCCACTTGATGGTGCAGTCATTGCATATCAACGTCCAGAAATATATCAGATCACGAAATTGGGATCCGATCCATCCGGATCATTATTATAGCCACAATGGAGAAATTAATTTCCAGTGGCTAAACCCACCCTATCCCGCAGCTTTTGTTGCTCTTTTTACATTCTCTCATTCACACTCTGCTTCTGCTTCACTCGGCCTCTGCCTCTGCCCTCCCCCTGCCACTGCCTCTGACGACTTTTGTTTTTGTTTTGTGTGCGGACGGTGCCTCTGCCTCTGCCGCGAGTCTGCAGTGTGTGGGTCTAGGGAAGGGCGGCGAGCTAAAGGAGCGTGTTGGTGTGAGAAGTGTTGTAGATGTAGATGACAGATGAAGAAAATATGTTAAATTTGACAAAACACCGGTAAGGTACAGATGTAGTACTGAGTGCCAGGTATAAAAGTTGTGACGCGTAAGAAGCGTCTCACCAGTCCCTTCTCGTTTTTCTAGGTAGGAACAGTTCTTTTCATTTAGAAATGGTGGTTGTTGGTTGTCGTTCCAGTTGTAGTTTCCGAAAGACGCATTACAGAACATACACATGTATCTTTGGCATGCATGTAGGACCGTTCCTTGTGAATGTATGGTACATGCATAAAATATCGTTTTATCGGAACTGTTCGGAGCAGCAGCATATATTTAATTATTTAGATCAACTCGCCTTGTTTATATTTATACTCTCTTATATTAATACGCTATTGTCGCGCTCATCGCTCCTCTCACAGTGCATAGAAGCGCACGCATATGTATACACCCTTCGTACTGGTTTATTGCAGTGCTTTGCCCTGTTATTTTGCCAGTCTAAAATATTGTCGATCGACGCGCATCTCCGAGCAGTCCAATTATTTTCTATGTCCAACGCGAACCCGTTATTTTAATCGAGCTCTAAATTATTGTGAAGTTTAACGTACGGCCCGCCCCCTATAAGCTGTATAAATTCGTAAAATAATAAACAAATATATCAAAAACTAAAACGGAGAATAATTGTCGTAAATGTGGAGTCAGAGTTGCCGAAAAAGCTCGGCAGCTTCCTTTTATTAAATAAGCATGTATAAATTGTCCATAAATCGTTATTTATTGTTTCCTTCATATTCTTTAGATGCTGTCATTTTTGATTATGTTCATACTTGTATGTATGTATTGATGTACATGCACTCATACATATGTACATACATACATATGTACGTGACACTCCTGTGACACTTAAGAGTTTAAGTGCAACTGCACTTAATTAATGTATTTAAAAATGAATTTGTATAATCCTTAAATATCAAATTTTATACCCGGTACTCAAAGAATAAATAGGGTACATATGTATATTGTATTTGTGTTGGAAAGTGGATGTGTGTAACGCATAGAAGGAAACGTTTCCGACCCCTTTATATACACATATACAATATACTTAACAATATTATGATAAAAACTGTAGTAAAGTAATAAAATATAATAAATTGTCCCCATTTTCATGTTCTGAGGTACTTTCTTCTAAATGCAAACTTGTTCATGAAATAGAATTAGATCATTCTTTTTTTGGTAGTGTAATTGTCTTTTGTTGGAGCATACCAAGAAGTGAACAATTTATATCCCTCGTTGCAGACGTTAGGATCTTTTCTTTAAAAAAAAAAAAATTAAAGTAAAAAAAGATGAATATTATATAAATCCAACTGAATCCTATTGGATAACTCCTACACATAAAACAAGAAGAGATAATAGGAACTATGATGGTAGGGACATCATGGTACCGAAATGGGATTTATATAAAAATTTCTCTATAGATTATAAAGTAGAAAATGATAGAGTCTTTATTTTAGATACTTCCCCTTTTTATATTGCACAGTACTTAAATCTTCTTAAACATGATAGAGCTTGTAATGGACAGTGGTCAATAAAATCAAATGGTATTCTTCCTTTTCCAATGACTTTTGTAAATGGTAAATCTTATTTTGAACCAAGAAAACTTCATTCTTGTGAGTGGTTGTACACTACTAATAAAACTAAATTTTGTAAAGAACTATATATAGATTCTCGTATTTCAACTGAAGCCACAAATATAATATTTATGAAGAAGGAGATATATTTATTATTTCTGATAAAGGTTTTCATTTTATTTCCAAAATTGAAGAAAAATTTTCAGAAGCTTTTGATTGGTATACAAAATTATTAGGTAAATTCTGGTCGTGGATAGGTGAAAAATTATTTTCAATAATTGAATCTCTTTTCAAGCATTTAATTGGGGACAATTTAGTAATAATATATCATAAATTAGATTCTAGTTATATGTTAACTGAATATGTAATTTTATCTATAATTATAGTATTGTATACAAAAAATATGACTACAGTACCATTTATATTAGTTTTTGTAATTATATTTTTAGGTTTAAAAAGAACATATTTTACAGTATCACCTTTAGAATATATGCACTAAATAATCATTACTTTCGTCAATCCAGATTATAAAAAAATATGTATTGATGATGAATGCGAAGATTATTTCGATAAAAATGTTCACAAATTTAAAGATAGTAGTGGACGTATAAAACACACAGATTTATTTATAGATTTAGATGATTAAATTTTCATAATGGAATGTTTCATTGTTTACACTATAGTCTTCTAATACTTAATCGCGCATCACGTTAGGAACGTTCAAAATTTTGATTACATACTTTTTGATAAAGATTTTCATCAAGTGAGATCAATTACAGTTGATGGATTCCGTGTTCAAGTTGATGCCAATCATAACAGAGCGATTTTGGTAATGGGAGCACAGATGTGTTTTAGTGAGGCGGACTATTTTGAACATATAAGTGCATTTTCAAAAAAAGATAAAGATATAGTAATTGTTAATAATACAGTAATTTTAAGAACATCTAATACAAATATTAATCCTTTTAATCCTTTGGATCTATTACAATTTGCTAATAATCTAAATTTAAATTATATAATTTGAGTTAGGAGTATAAATTCATAAATGGAAGAATTAACAATTTTTTTGGACTTTTTACTTACTTTTGATTATGATGCGGAGGATTATTTGGATTATTATTTAGTTGCACATTTAATTAAAAATTCTAAATTCTTTGATGAATGCTCTGATATATTTGAAGCGGTGGTATCTAGGCAAGGTAGGGAAGTGGTTATTACTAATATCGTCACTTTACATACAAAGAGAATTCATCTATCAATTTGAACATAAAATTATTTTTCTACTAATTTTCTATATAACATTTATTTGCAATTACTGGGTACATTCTTTTCTATCTACAATAAATAATATCTTAGATATAATGTATTCCTCATATATACCTGAATTTAATCATACATTTATAAACATGAATAATTATATATTGTTCATACATAATATTAGAAGTAAGCGATTTAATATTAAAGAAAATAGAGATTCCATCAGAGATGAATATAATAACCTTTTGCAAAATTCAATTAGAGTCAGTACATATTCAAGATTTCCACAAGATAGTGATAATGATTATTATTTGGATATGGATAATCCTTACATATCAAGAATTTTCGTAAAATTATTGAGTTCAATAGATATGAGTGATAGATATCTTGAAAATAATTCAGATTTTTTAAATGCAAACATTAATACGATTAGAGATGCAAGTAGAAATTTTCAAAATTTTAAAACAAATCTCGAAAAATTATTAGTTACACATAATCAATTCTATAACATCGGAATTTATACTAGAAAAACTTTCGAGACAAAATTCAAATTATTCTGGTCTTTTGATATTCCTAGAAATATTCAAAAACAAGAAAAGGTATATTATTCTGATGGAAATTAAAAGTTGGGGCCACGCCGAGTAGGATCGAGGGTACACAGACTTTTCTTTAGACTTAAAAAGTTGGGGGCCACGCCGAGTAGGATCGAGGGTACACAGACGTTACAAATTATATTCTTTATCAGCATCAATAGCCGAGTCGATAGAGCCAAATTTAACTGACTGAGTGCCGGGTATAAAAGCGCCTCACTAACGTTCCAACAATAACGTTGTTATTTAAATATTAATAATTTATTTCAAAATATACAATGGGTTTACATAAAAATATCCAATATTACGTAAAGAATGGTTGGACTAACAGTGCAATTTGCTTGATTAAAATTAAAGACTTTTTTTGGATGAAAAACACACTGACTTCGTTCTCATCTTTTTTTGAGCCCACACACACATAGGGAATGAAATGCAACAAAGTATCAAAGTTTGTTTTGTTTGGAATACATATAATTACAGCCAGCTAAGTCTCCAGTCTCCACAACACTGACCCGAAGTAGAATCCAGAAATCGACCCAAAATGAAGAGTTCCCATGCATATTCATGAGCATTCCAGAAGTATAATTGCGATTCAATTTCGAACTGAAAACAGTTGCGCAATCTTGTTAGCATGACATTTAATGTAGTCATAGCCAATCCTGGTGACACTCTTTATCCTGCTGTTGTGATTTGGGACGGCCACCGCTGCTGTGGCAGCGGATAGATCGATCTGCTGGGCTGCAAACGTTCCTGTCGCCCCCGCTGCTGGGGAAGCTGAATGGAGAACACTGGATTGACTTTTCGGGAACATTCGGCGAAGGACATAGTCAAAGCCATTGGAAGCCTTGTTGCTGTTCGACTTGAATCGCTCAATGCCGAAGGCCCGAATGGCACGCGAGAATCCAAAGACTTGTGAGCTGATGTAGGCCCGACGAACGGCCAGAGTCCTTCCATCATTCTGCTCGGTGTAGGTAACGATTTCATCGACTTTCTAAGAATCGAAACAAGTCATTCGCTGCCTTTTTGCAAAAACTAGCTTCAAGTCTACTTACCATTATCTTCTTCATGCCCAGGTTGCGGGTGAATGTGGTGAACGTCTTCGCAACCGGATCCAGCACCGAATCCTCAACAATCTTGACCGGCACATTGTTGTAGAATCGAGACCCCCATTTAGGCACCGGATTTGTCTTTGAGAGCAGCCGCCGGGAGTATAATTTGCCGTCCCGCACCTCCCGTTTAATGGTGTCTTCGGTGAGGACGTGCGAGCTGGATGGATTTGGATAGCGGTTCCAGTAAGCAGCTACAACATTCTTCCAGCTGTAATCGAAAACCGCCTCCGTGCGGCAAGTGGACGCCGTGAGGACCATGACAGCGTCAATCAACTGATAAGAACGCTTGTATGCGCGTGCCTTGCCGAAAATAAAATAAATTTCCCAGCAAGTCACGCCAACCTGCGCCCCTGAACTAAAATAAAGAGAGAACAGAACAAAATCAATTGCAATCGAATGATGCGGTTATAAATAGCAATTGACCACTGTTGCCAGTGCCTCGTGGACCTACCAGCTTTTTGTATTTGGTGTGTGAGCAGCTCCAGAGCGTAGAGTGGATCGTGGGGTACGATGCGTTTTTTGTTAGGAATAATTCGTCCCTGCCAGTTTTGGGCGCCTACGCGTCTGTGCCAAGAATTTTGTTGTGTAACTGCGTCATACACAGGGTGGCTCGAAAACTATGAATTTCTTTATTTAGTGGCCTTAGTTCAATAATCTCAATGGTCTCCTACGCTCACTGTTTCCTCATAATGCCAGCCGTGCGTTTCATTCCTTATGTTTTATTTAATTGTATCCATTTAATTTAATCCACACCTGGTCCAAAGTCCACTGCTCCAACGTGACCGCGAAATTATCGATAAAATATACCGTCAGGGCCTCGAAAATATTCCAAAATATACTCTTGCATTTTCAAAATATACTGTAAATATACCGTGAATCTTGAATTATTTTCCTCGATTTGTATTTCCTATTTGATATAAGTAGCTAGTTAGGAGTCTTAGCATTTTAAATGTAATTTTACTCGAATAATTCAATTTCATTCAATTCCCCGCAGGATTGGGTGATTTTATGATTTATCTTTTCTGGATTGATTGCATAATAAGGTTAAATCAGAAAAGGTCAACCAAAAAAAAAATTGTTTCCATACTTCATATTTTAAATCTATTTTCTCAAGTACTTTTAATAATTAACAATGACTTATAGTCTTAAAGTATAATCGACAAATTTTTAGATTAATTCATTGAAAGTGTGACTGTTTCGAAGGATACCACGCCTTTTTGTTAATATTATCTAATAACATAAGGCATCCTTTATTATGAGTTTTATTTTCTCCTTTCTTTATGTATTGCATTTTATATTTATTATATTATATATATTATATTATATATATTATATTATATATATTATATTATATTATATTATATTGTATTTGTGCGAATAACGGTTGTATGTGACGCACAGACGGAAGCGTTTCCGACCCCATAAAGTATATATATTCTTGATCAGCATCAATAGCCGAGTCGATAGAGCCATGTCTGTCTGTCCGTCTGTCCGTCCGTCCGTCTTGTTTGTCGGCTAGTTCTCAGAGACTATAAGAGCTAGAGCCACAAAATTTTGCATCCAGACTGCTATATGCTCACACTGAAACCAGTGTATTTAAGAAATGAGCCACGCCCCCTTCTGCCCCCGCAAAAGGTCGAAAACCTCCCAAATCTACAATTTTGAAGATAACAGAAAACTAAAAACGCCATTCCGTAGGAAATGGCCATATCTATCAGATCACCAAATTGGGATCCGATCCATCCGGATCATTATTATAGCCACAATGGAGAAATTAATTTCCAGTGGCTAAACCCACCCTATCCCGCAGCTTTTGTTGCTCTTTTTACATTCTCTCATTCACACTCTGCTTCTGCTTCACTCGGCCCCTGCCTCTGCCCTCCCCTGGCGTTGACTCTTCCGACTTTTAACCAAGACTCGGTTTTTAACGCTCTGTATTAGAAAAAGAGTGACCATCAAAGTTGCGTAGAAGAAATTTTCATAGATGGCGCCACTTTCGAAAAATTTGCTGTGAAACCTATCGGTCATTATTGCACAGAATGTGCAGACCATTGGACCATCAAAGTTGCGTACAAGAAATTTTCATAGATGGCGCCACTTTCGAAAAATTTGCTGTGAAACCTATCGGTCCCAGAATGTACCAATTTTATTGCTGTTTTAAATATCTCATAAATTGGAAAATATTAACTGATCCAATTTGTTTGATGCATTTTATTTAGTAGGCTTTTACTACGTGTTCTGTAATGTGAACGATATCTAGTGGTTGGCGATGTCTTCTACATCTAGATGTAGTCCTGAGTGCCGGGTATAAAAGTTGTGACGCGTAAAAAGCGTCTCACACGTCCCTTCTCGTTTTTATTTTATTTATGCCTAATTTTAATGATTTTTAGGGTATCCAATTTGTTATTAACCCATTTAGAGTTTGTTGTCGCAAACACTTTTACCCATTGTTCTAGAATTTCATGTCCATGAGATGCGCATATATTTGCAGCGTTGAACCAATTTACATCGTTTCTAATGCATTGCTCAACAAAATGTTTACAACAATTCTTCGCGTATGAAGTTTGCTTGACGAAATCGTAAAAATATGAAGTGCTGTATTGAATGCGTAACCATCTGATCACTTGGCAGTTTGTACTCATTTATGTTTTTCCCAACATCCAGCACAGTTTTTTGGCAGGTGGTCCACTCAATATTAAGTTCGCCAGAAAGCTCAGCAATTTTATCAATTGGTTGTCTTCCATTTTCCGTTGATAGAAAATAATCCATGCTGTTTGGGAAAAATATTGAAATGGGTTTCACCATTCTTAATTTACAAATCCAATTGTGGTTCATCAATCGAAAGCTGCTTCAGCAATTGGGTTGCTGTTGGGCTCGCGTACTGCTACCCAATTTTGCGAATCTTGATGAAAGCCCCTGGTATTTATACATGTAATATCTTCAATTTCTAAAATATTTTTAATGATTTGATTGACTTTTTTGCAAGTTCCAATCAACCTTGTCATGTATGTCGCTTGGGAATCTCGTTCCGTTATATTACTTGGACCGAATTTAACCATTCTTAAGTAATTCAAGAATTCATTTAACCGGCCTTCAAAGGCTTTATTAGTCCTGAAATATGTGTGGTGCAGAAGGTCGATTGCGGATTGATGTTTGATGAATGAAAACTTCATGAAACTTTTCAATCATATTCCATGAAGCTTTACCATCTGGTGTTATTACATAATGTGTTAAGAAGTTATTTCTAACACTCATGTAATCACAAATGCTGTAGTGCGCTTGTTCATTGCTCAAAATAATAAAATAGAAAGTTAAAGTTCAGCCTGAAACTATACAACACCAGTACTTCTAGTAGTCAAATTCTGGTGCAAGCTGAGCTTTCGCGAATTTCGCTCTGACTGACGGTTCCAATTGATGTTTGTTTCCCACTGTCATTCTGACAAACAGAAGGGGGACCGAAAATTAGGCTGTGAAGAGCTGATTTCCGGAAAAAGTAGAGCGAGCCTTCTCCTCGTGGTATTCAAAGAGTACAGACGTACGTATACGTCGCGGCCACGGCCATATGGAGCGAACATAAAAAGAAGGCAGAAGAGGTTGCTGCCAGTTACCGGATGAGTTCCGAATAAATTACCCACGGAACACCGGAGAAATACGTATGGCGTCCCATAGAGGGGCATAGTTTTGGAAGACCACCCTGGCCCCCACTAGCAGCTTTAGCGCAGGCGCGACCCAGTGCCCGATTTCCGTTCGAGAGCGGCCCCAACGGCACCAAGGCAGAACAGCCGCGATCGAGCCCCTCGACCATCCCCCGCCTACAGCGGCTTGAGAGCCGAAATTAGCGAGTTGTGTTAAGTGATGTGACCACCTGACGAACTCTGACCCAGGCCTTGACGGACTATTTCTATATGCGGTTCAACATAACCTGCCTATGTACCGGTGCCACCACATGCTGGCTTAACATTTTTTTGTTGTTCCCCTAAACCAACTAAAATCAACGGCATAGTGACAGTGAAGAACATAATACGAAACTCTATATGTTCCACTGTACATTTAAAACATATGTGCACTTGCGAGGTCATTGACCCGTAGAGGCTACAGGCCGTGCTTTTCAAATTTATACTTGTGTCCCCATGCCATCGCTGCCATGTCTGGATTCAGACCTCGTTTTGAATTTGATTAATACAAATGTAAAGAAAAGTAGTGATATTTAGCGCAAGTGACAAAAACATTAAGAAACTAACGTAAAATTTACTTATTCCATTAAATTTGTTTAAATCCAACCCCAAAAAGAAATAATCAAAACAAACGGAGAGAAATCATATGTTTATGTGTGTATGATCCCTTGTGTATGATCTCTCTTAAAAGCTTTCAGGTTCGCTCTCCCATCGCCGAAAGATATTTTGGACAGGGATGACATAAAGCAAATACGTAAGTGAAAGAACCTATTTTATTGCAAATCTTAACTTGTTAGAGACTTTACTGCCATGCACATTAAATAAATACTTGATCGGTCTTTCTTGTTGTTGCGATTTCGGCCAACGTAAAGCTTGTGAGCTTTCGGAGCTTCTTCAAAGCTTGGCTTTATCTATGGAGCATTACACTTATGAGCATTAATTTATAGCCAAAATAATTTCCGTTGGAATAAAAATGAAAATGAAATGAATGAATTTAAAAATAATTACATATTAATCCAAAAAATATCGAACTAATTAAAAATTTACATTTTGAATACAATTAATGGAATCTAACTATTAAACGTATTATAATTAATATTTCCTTATTCACCTTATTCACTTATTCATATATATTTTGTAGCCCCTTTATTTGATAGTAAACAATTTTTCTTATAATTTTCTCTTTATATACATACATACCCATATATTAGGAATGAACTCTCATTATTTATAATAAACCTATCATTAATTTTTGAAAATGAATTGCTAGAGATTTTTGTATTAAGGAGCCATGCAACGTTCACCGTGTGGAATATAGAATAACCATGACTAAAAGGGATCATCCGAAACTAATATATCTCTTGGAATTTATAGGATGATCATGGTTGGGTGGGCAAGGACTGCCGCAACAAGACCAGCGCAGCCCCCTCATTCCCTTCCCTACGGTCTAGCATAGGTCTGCACGCGATGAATGAATAAGAAATAGCATCAATGTGAGCACGTAACAATAAGCAATTATCGGAACCCCCCCTTCTACCGATCATACAGCCGGAGCCAGCGCGTGCACCCTCCTTATTGGTTGCACCCCCGACCAGCTCGAGTGGCACAGCTACAACCACTATTGTTGTAGGTGACTTGCTACAATGCCTGGAGGCGCAATTCGGAAAGCTTCAGTATTAATCGGCTGGAGAGCTACTGTATTTACAGAGGACTGATCGCAAACCAAGTCATGAACATTCAAGCCAACTGTTTTTCAACGGAGAATTGCCTTCTGAATTGTTCTAGCGTTATGGTAACAAAAATGGAGGTAACAAAATGACTGTAGTCATCAATCAGCCCTCGTACCAGGAAAGTTAGCATTCCTGTTGCTAGGGAGGAAAATTGCTTTTTTTTATCAGGATACCATCTACTAGATCTATATAGGCAGAATAATTTATTGAATTATAAGTGACAATTATAACATTTACGGCTGTTTATTGTAGCCATGTTTACAAAAACATTCAGCTAAACTGCGCTAATAACCTTTTTTTTTTTTAGGTTTTATGTTATTGCTCTACCCTTGGGTAGATGGGGATTATTTGGCCGCCCGCCTTTAGAAGGTGGA